CAGGATGGGCATGGGGGTCCACTACCACCCACAGGATGGGTATGGGGGTCCACTGCCACCCACAGGATGGGTATGGGGGTCCACTGCCACCCACAGGATGGGTATGGGGGTTCACTGCCACCCACAGGATGGGTATGGGGGTACACTGCCACCCACAGGATGGGTATGGGGGTACACTGCTACCCACAGGATGGGTATGGGGGTCCACTGCTACCCACAGGATGGGTATGGGGGTCCACTACCACCCACAGGATGGGCATGGGGATCCACTACCACCCACAGGATGTGCATGGGGATCCACTACCACCCACAGGATTGGTATGGGGGTACACTGCTACCCACAGGATGGGTATGGGGGTACACTGCTACCCACAGGATGGGTATGGGGGTACACTACCACCCACAGGATGTGCATGGGGATCCACTACCACACACAGGATGGGTATGGGGGTCCACTGCCACCCACAGGATGGGTATGGGGGTACACTGCCACCCACAGGATGGGTATGGGGGTACACTGCCACCCACAGGATGGGTATGGGGGTACACTACCACCCACAGGATGTGCATGGGGATCCACTACCACACACAGGATGGGTATGGGGGTCCACTGCTACCCACAGGATGGGTATGGGGGTCCACTACCACCCACAGGATGGGCATGGGGGTCCACTACCACCCACAGGATGTGCATGGGGATCCACTACCACCCACAGGATTGGTATGGGGGTCCACTGCTACCCACAGGATGGGTATGGGGGTCCACACTCAGTTACGTCAGATTGTTCCCCCATCTGTTATAACTTTCTTTTGGGAACTGTATCAAATGTATTCTGGTAGTCTAGGAAGATGCATTCCATTCTACAATGGTATCTGTTTTATTTGTTTGCTCATTTATAAAAAAATAATAATCGATTTTTTAGTAATATAATTTTTTATAAGATAATATCAATGGTAAAGTTATATGACTTAGATACATATATTGGGGGATTGAGTAGCACTAGATACAGAGCGAGCTTAAAGCACTAGGGAGGAAGCTATGAAGATGAAATTAGGTACTTTTTGTTTTTGAATAAGGCAAAAGTTGGACAGCTTTTCAATTCGTTAGGGAGTGAGTTCCATAGACTAGGTCCCTCTAGTGCATAGAGTGTTTACACAGATTAAGTTTGACTCTGGGGATATCAAGAGAGATTTATTTCTGGTGTGGTGATAATGGGTCCTATTACATCTGTCCAGGGAGAATTTCAGAGCAGGATTTTCACTTAAGAACAGGGCTTTGTAAATGTAGATGGTACAAGAGAATGTGTGGAGTGAGTTTATGTTTATGGACTTGCCCGAAACGCATTGCGTAATAGTGGCTTTAGGCATTGTATGTACTAGCTCTATCTATATATCAATCCATTAATGTAACATCACTTGTATGGATATACCTTACCTGAATAAACATCTGAATCTGAATCTGAATTTAAACAAGGGGGCTGAGTGTTGTCTGAAAGCAGAGTTTGTTATTGTTCTGATAGCAGATTTTTGCTGGGTAATGGTGGGCTTGAAGTAGCTTGCAGTGGTTGAGCCCCATGCACAGATACAATAAGTAAGAAAGATATATATTAACGCGTAATATAGTGAGTGGAGAGCGGAGTTAGGAGCATAATATCTGGTTTAAGAGAGTATCCAACCGTTGTAGAGACTTTCTTGGTAATGTGTTCTATGTGGGTGCTGAAGTTGAGTCTCTTGGTTGGTATTGTTGGTGTACTGCAGCATTGTTCAGGAGTATTGTTGGTGAACTGCAGCATTGTTCAGGAGTATTGTTGGTATACTGCAGCATTGTTCAGGAGTATTGTTGGTGTACTGCAGCATTGTTCAGGAGTACTGTTGGTGTACTGCAGCATTGTTCAGGAGTATTGTTGGTGAACTGCAGCATTGTTCAGGAGTATTGTTGGTATACTGCAGCATTGTTCAGGAGTATTGTTGGTGTACTGCAGCATTGTTCAGGAGTATTGTTGGTATACTGCAGCATTGTTCAGGAGTATTGTTGGTATACTGCAGCATTGTTCAGGAGTATTGTTGGTGTACTGCAGCATTGTTCAGGAGTATTGTTGGTGTACTGCAGCATTGTTCAGGAGTATTGTTGGTGAACTGCAGCATTGTTCAGGAGTATTGTTGGTATACTGCAGCATTGTTCAGGAGTATTGTTGGTGTACTGCAGCATTGTTCAGGAGTATTGTTGGTGAACTGCAGCATTGTTCAGGAGTATTGTTGGTATACTGCAGCATTGTTCAGGAGTATTGTTGGTGTACTGCAGCATTGTTCAGGAGTATTGTTGGTATACTGCAGCATTGTTCAGGAGTATTGTTGGTATACTGCAGCATTGTTCAGGAGTATTGTTGGTGTACTGCAGCATTGTTCAGGAGTATTGTTGGTGTACTGCAGCATTGTTCAGGAGTATTGTTGGTATACTGCAGCATTGTTCAGGAGTATTGTTGGTGTACTGCAGCATTGTTCAGGAGTATTGTTGGTATACTGCAGCATTGTTCAGGAGTATTGTTGGTATACTGCAGCATTGTTCAGGAGTATTGTTGGTGTATTGCAGCATTGTTCAGTATTGTTGGTGTACTGCAGCATTGTTCAGGAGTATTGTTGGTATACTGCAGCATTGTTCAGGAGTATTGTTGGTATACTGCAGCATTGTTCAGGAGTATTGTTGGTGTACTGCAGCATTGTTCAGTATTGTTGGTGTACTGCAGCATTGTTCAGGAGTATTGTTGGTATACTGCAGCATTGTTCAGGAGTATTGTTGGTGTACTGCAGCATTGTTCAGGAGTATTGTTGGTGAACTGCAGCATTGTTCAGGAGTATTGTTGGTATACTGCAGCATTGTTCAGGAGTATTGTTGGTATACTGCAGCATTGTTCAGGAGTATTGTTGGTATACTGCAGCATTGTTCAGGAGTATTGTTGGTGTGCTGCAGCATTGTTCAGGAGTATTGTTGGTGAACTGCAGCATTGTTCATAAGTATTGTTGGTATACTGCAGCATTGTTCAGGAGTATTGTTGGTGTACTGCAGCATTGTTCAGGAGTATTGTTGGTGAACTGCAGCATTGTTCAGGAGTATTGTTGGTATACTGCAGCATTGTTCAGGAGTATTGTTGGTGTACTACAGCATTGTTCATGAGTATTGTTGGTGTATTACAGCATTGTTCAGGAGTATTGTTGGTATACTGCAGCATTGTTCAGGAGTATTGTTGGTGTACTGCAGCATTGTTCAGGAGTATTGTTGGTGTACTGCAGCATTGTTCAGGAGTATTGTTGGTGAACTGCAGCATTGTTCAGGAGTATTGTTGGTGAACTGCAGCATTGTTCAGGAGTATTGTTGGTATACTGCAGCATTGTTCAGGAGTATTGTTGGTATACTGCAGCATTGTTCAGGAGTATTGTTGGTATACTGCAGCATTGTTCAGGAGTATTGTTGGTGTACTGCAGCATTGTTCAGTATTGTTGGTGTACTGCAGCATTGTTCAGGAGTATTGTTGGTATACTGCAGCATTGTTCAGGAGTATTGTTGGTGTACTGCAGCATTGTTCAGTATTGTTGGTGTACTGCAGCATTGTTCAGGAGTATTGTTGGTGAACTGCAGCATTGTTCAGGAGTATTGTTGGTGAACTGCAGCATTGTTCAGGAGTATTGTTGGTGAACTGCAGCATTGTTCAGGAGTATTGTTGGTATACTGCAGCATTGTTCAGGAGTATTGTTGGTGTACTGCAGCATTGTTCAGGAGTATTGTTGGTGTACTGCAGCATTGTTCAGGAGTATTGTTGGTGAACTGCAGCATTGTTCAGGAGTATTGTTGGTGAACTGCAGCATTGTTCAGGAGTATTGTTGGTGAACTGCAGCATTGTTCAGGAGTATTGTTGGTGTACTGCAGCATTGTTCAGTATTGTTGGTGTACTGCAGCATTGTTCAGGAGTATTGTTGGTATACTGCAGCATTGTTCAGGAGTATTGTTGGTGTACTGCAGCATTGTTCAGTATTGTTGGTGTACTGCAGCATTGTTCAGGAGTATTGTTGGTGAACTGCAGCATTGTTCAGGAGTATTGTTGGTGAACTGCAGCATTGTTCAGGAGTATTGTTGGTGAACTGCAGCATTGTTCAGGAGTATTGTTGGATACTGCAGCATTGTTCAGGAGTATTGTTGGTGTACTGCAGCATTGTTCAGGAGTATTGTTGGTGTCCTGCAGCATTGTTCAGGAGTATTGTTGGTATACTGCAGCATTGTTCAGGAGTATTGTTGGTGTACTGCAGCATTGTTCAGGAGTATTGTTGGTGTACTGCAGCATTGTTCAGGAGTATTGTTGGTGAACTGCAGCATTGTTCAGGAGTATTGTTGGTGAACTGCAGCATTGTTCAGGAGTATTGTTGGTGAACTGCAGCATTGTTCAGGAGTATTGTTGGTGAACTGCAGCATTGTTCAGGAGTATTGTTGGTGTATTACAGCATTGTTCAGGAGTATTGTTGGTGTACTGCAGCATTGTTCAGGAGTATTGTTGGTGTACTGCAGCATTGTTCAGGAGTATTGTTGGTGAACTGCAGCATTGTTCATGAGTATTGTTGGTGTATTACAGCATTGTTCAGGAGTATTGTTGGTGTATTACAGCATTGTTCAGGAGTATTGTTGGTGTACTGCAGCATTGTTCAGGAGTATTGTTGGTGTACTGCAGCATTGTTCAGGAGTATTGTTGGTGTACTGCAGCATTGTTCAGGAGTATTGTTGGTGTACTGCAGCATTGTTCAGGAGTATTGTTGGTGTACTGCAGCATTGTTCAGGAGTATTGTTGGTGTACTGCAGCATTGTTCAGTATTGTTGGTGTATTACAGCATTGTTCAGGAGTATTGTTTGTGTATTACAGCATTGTTCAGGAGTATTGTTGGTGTATTACAGCATTGTTCAGGAGTATTGTTTGTGTATTACAGCATTGTTCAGGAGTATTGTTTGTGTATTACAGCATTGTTCAGGAGTATTGTTGGTGTATTACAGCATTGTTCAGGAGTATTGTTGGTGTATTACAGCATTGTTCAGGAGTATTGTTGGTGTATTACAGCATTGTTCAGGAGTATTGTTGGTGTATTACAGCATTGTTCAGGAGTATTGTTGGTGTATTACAGCATTGTTCAGGAGTATTGTTGGTGTACTAAATACCTGTTTATCTTCCACAGGGATCTAAGAGGAAATCCTGTTGACAGCCTCGGTGCTCGAGTCTTCTCTGGACTCACCAACCTCCATTATCTGTAAGTTTATATGGTACCCCCCCCCCCCCCCTCTCTCTCTCTCTCTCACTCCCCACACACCTGCTTCCAGCCACACCTCCCCCCGTCCCCCCACACACCTGCCTCCAACCACACCACCCCCGTCCTCCCCCACACACCTGGAGGCAGACCCTTTGTGGAAACTATTGTGAAACTTCTCACTAGTTGTATTTTGGGAGCACTAAGTGCTTTAACTTCTTTAATTGATAAATACATGATTGATATTTTGTTCTTTGTTTGATAATTATATCTTATGAAATTTTTTTTTTTTTTTTTTTTGAGATATATACAAGAGTTGTTACATTCTTGTAGAGCCACTAGTACGCGTAGCGTTTCGGTTAGGTCCCTGGAATACGATCCCCGCCGCGAAGAATCGTTTTTTCATCCAAGTACACATTTTACTGTTGCGTTAAACAGAGGCTACAGTTAAGGAATTGCGCCCAGTAAATCCTCCCCGGCCAGTGAGTAATTAGTGAGTAAAAACACGAAATACTTAATCGTGTGACATATATATAGAAACAGGATAGGAAATGATAGGCTTTTGTCAGGCCCACCAGAGTTCCGGAACCTATAAAATTGGCACTGCTCCCTTGACTGCACCCTACCAGGGACTCCAGCAGCGCGGACAAAGCGGAAACTGGAGGTCTGGGGCCAGATTCACGAAGCAGTTACACAAGCACCTACGAACCTGTACATCTTTCCTCAATCTTTGGCGGCTTTGTTTACAATTATTAAACAGTTAATGAGCTCCGAAGCACCAGGAGGCTGTTTATAACAATAACAACAGTTGATTGGCAAGTTTTCATGCTTGGAAACTGTTTAATAAATGTAACCAAAGCCGTCAAAGATTGAGGAAAGGTGTACACGTTGGTAAGTGCTTGCGTAACTGCTTCGTGAATCTGGCCCCAGGTATGTTGATGGTATCTCAAAGAATACCAAGGCACTGGAAAGGCCTATGAGACCGGTCTCGGTATTACAACAGCGGTAGAAACAAAGTATCAGAGTAAATCTGGTAACAGAGGCCGAGTGTGTGCCAGAGGCTGTCAGATAATAAGGTAGGGAACAGAAAAGTATAGAAATTGTCATCCACACTTCTGTGGAAATAAACCCCAGATTCACGAAGCAGTTACGCAAGCACTTACGAACCTGTACATCTTTCCTCAATCTTTGACACCTTTGGTTACATTTATTAAACAGTTTACAAGCATGAAAACTTGCCAATCAACTGTTGTTATTGTTATAAACAGCCTCCTGGTGCTTCGGAGCTCATTAACTGTTTAATAATTGTAAACAAAGCCGCCAAAGATTGAGAAAAGATGTACAGGTTCGTAAGTGCTTGCGTAACTGCTTCGTGAATCTGGCGCGACCCATACAGACCCAGACCCGGAAATAAAGGGTTCGAGACCCCATACAGCCCAGGTGACCGGAAGAGAGGTATAGAGATGTGGCGCTGAATGTCAAGAGTGAGAGCTTTGTTGAGGGAATCACAGACTTAGGTGGATTGTCCAGTCTTTATGGGAGCCGGTGGCTGAGCGGACAGAACACTGTACGCGTGATCCTGTGGTCTCGGATTCGATTCCGGGCGCCGGCGAGAAACAATGGGCAAAGTTTCTTTCATTCTATGCCCCTGTTACCTAGCAGTTAATAGGTACCTGGGAGTTAGTCAGCTGTCACGGGCTGCTTCCTGGGGGTGAAGGCCTGGTCGAGGACCGGGCCGCGGGGACACTAAAGCCCCGAAATCATCTCAAGATAACCTTTGTGCCAGGAACTGTAACAACAGGTGAGAACTGGAGTGATAGTGGTAATGTACTAACCACTGGCAAGTACCAATTGGTTCAGGGACGGTTATCTTGAGGTTATCTTGAGATGATTTCGGGGCTTCGCATCTCCGTGGCCCGGTCCTCGACCAGGCCTCCTTTTTGTTACACACCCCCAAAGAAGCAGCCCGTAGCAGCTGTCTAACTCCCAGGTAACTATTTACTGCTAGGTAATAGGCACATCAGGATGAAAGAAACTCTGCCCCTTTGTTTCCACCTCCGCCGCGGATCGAACCCGGAACCTTAGGACTACGAATCCCGAGCGCTGTCCACTCAGCCATCAGGCCTCCCCTTAAGAGCAATATAACGAGAATGAGCCGCTGGTGACCAACACGCTCCATCATCAACAATAATATTACCTCTGAAAATGAGATAATCATTGGAGATTTCAACCATGCTGAAATAAAATGGTATACAAGAAAGACATGGAGAGAGAGAGTGGTGAACCTCATGGATGTGAATTACATAGTAATATGTAATATGTAAGCGTATGTAACTTACATATGCAACTTGTGAGCATATGCAACTTACATGCTTACATATGTGATATATAAGCATGTATGATCAAGAGAGAGGACCTTCCAGTTGACTGAACTTCATCTTTACTCGGGACAAAAAGTGTTGAGTTTATCAAATCAAATGTTTATTCAGGTAAAGTACATACATACAAGGTGAGATACGAAGCATTGATGGATTTATAGATAAAGCTAGTACATACAATGCCTAAAGCCACTATGACGCAAAGCGTTTCGGGCAGGAAAAACACTAAGACTAAAACTTAATACTAATTGAGATTAAAGTATAAATTGTGTTGAGAACATATAGCCACAAAATTCTAACAATTCTAACAAAATTCTAATTCTAATTCTAATTCTCTAAATTCTAACAAAATTCTAATTCTAACCACTATGTACTAGTTGTTGATTATGACAAAATAAGGGAATTCCTGGAAGGAGTGCAGTAAAGAGACCTCACTTGGGAACGTATTTGTATTAAACAATATTGGTTATCTTGAGGCTATCTTGATATGATTTCGGGGATTTTTTTTAGTGTCCCCGCGGCCCGGTCCTCGACCAGGCCTCCACTCCCATGAAGCAGCCCGTGACAGCTGATTAACACCCAGGTACCTATTTTACTGCTAGGTAACAGGGGCATAGGGTGAAAGAAGCTCTGCCCATTGTTTCTCACTGGTGCCTGGGATCGAACCCAGGACCACAGGATCACAAGTCCAGCGTGCTGTCCGCTCGGCTGACCGGCTCCCTTTGGACTCAGTTCTGAAAATTTCAGAAGGTAAAAAACAATTTATTATAATTCAGAAAATGTGTCTGGGTTGTAAGGCCAATCAACCCATCAGATCACCTAATATGCTGCAGTTTTAGCGGAATACACCAATATGTTGGATATGGAAAATATCATAAAAAAATAATGAATTACTACCAGGGACCTCGATAGAAGCCTAACATATACTGTATGTATAACTTGACTGTCTGTCCCCCGACACAATGAATTATTATGATCTATATATAACCTCTCAAGTGTGGTTGCTTGGCATGGTGAGGGGGGGGGGCTCTTGGGTGCTGCCCATGGGTAGTTGTAGGGGCGTTCTGCCCCCTTCTGCTGCCCGCTGGGATACGCATAATTACCTTGTACGCCAAGTGGCTTGCCCACCCGTATTTTCGTCATGTATGGAGAACCGTATATTTCCCCATTGTTCTTGCATCTGGTTGTTGAGCCTACCTGGCGGCTGCAGCCCCTGGGGGGGAGGGGGGAGGGGGTAACAGAGAGGCTCAGTGTGGCCACCTGAACCAATCGCCTCGTTTAGCTGGCTCGCCTGGTTAGACAGGGCATTGCCGGGTTGGTATCCCTATCACATCCATTGGACATCCGTGACGAGGCCGACGGCGAAGACGTCGTATCCCTTTACTCAAGTGAGGCAGCTCTGGAGCAGCTGTTTGCCCCATAACACCAGGACGCTCTATATCAACTCCAGCCTCGTCATCATACCCACCCGACGCTACTTGGCTGACCGAATCATCTTAGTCAGCCACATCAGTGTCTACATCACCACCCAGGACCCCGACACCCTATTGGCTAACATTATCTCAAGGAACTCAGCTTTGACTGCAGTTAAAGTCAAGGTATCCGAGAACGAAGACAGCCCACGACCTACCCTTAAGGTCACCTTTTCAACAGCTGCGGCAGCGACCCAAGCTGTGGAAAATGGCTTCAGATGCTTGGATATATCCATCACACCTGACACAGTCAAGAAGGAGTGTTACTGCATCATACGCTAATGCATTAAGTAAAAATAAAATAAAATAAAATAAAATGTTTATTCAGGTAAGGTACATACATTCAAGAGATTTTACATAAGTCTTACAAATACGACCACGACACCAAGAACTGCCCACAAACAGAGGCAAAGTGCAGCATTTGCGCCCAAAACCACCACTTTTAAAACTGGCAGTCACCCACCAAATTGTCTCAATATATGAGGACCACACACCGCCGTCTCCATGGCACACACCGCCGTCTCCATGGCACACACCGCCGTCTCCATGGCACACACCGCCGTCTCCATGGCACACACCGCCGTCTCCATGGCACACACCGCCGTCTCCATGGCACACACCGCCGTCTCCATGGAATGCCAAGTACGACTCGACGAAATTAAGAAAACAGTAACTGCCAACCCAACAACTAATCAGCCGGTGAGCTTCAATATCCAGGCAACGTCGTTCCCAGTGCTACCCAACTCTTCTGCTTCTGCTACACAGACGTCCACACCAGACCTGCCCCCCCCCCTCCCTACCTACCACTGAGGATCCAGCACACAGGTGACTGTAGCCCAGCCAGCCAACTCACCACTCAACCAATCAGCAGCCTCGGCCGCCACCACCCTCATCCCTGCCCTGATACGTGTAGCTGAGAAGATGGCAGGGGCAAATACGTGAGAGTACTAAACATGCTGCTTGCCCAGAACATCCTATCTACGATGTCGGTCCCAGCGGACCTATTTCAGCCTCAAAACGCTGCTTCAACCCAAACAGATCAGCTCCCAACACCAGCAACCGAAGCCATGTCGGCTTCCCCCCCCCCCAACCCCCAGAGGCGGAACCAACACCAGTGTTAGCAAAACCAGTTACCCAGGCATCAACCTCCACC